TCTATTTTCAGTAACTGCAGGGAAGAGGCCTGTCAACTCTTGTATCAGAAAACTTGCTCAAATCCTCAAATTTCCATTCCACTCGCGTGGATTTCTTAGTCGATAGGTTTTGCTCGGGTACTTTCCCACACTTTTTCCACGTGAAGATGACTTGTACCTTAGACACCAATTCGGACTGTTCCTTAGTTACTGCCCGCCCCCCCCCCCCCCCGGGGCCCAGAAGTCCAGCAGCACCGCCTCACCTGTGCCAGAGCCAAGCTGTAGCAGGGCCGCGCGGCCTCTCGCCCCACGCCAAGCCCAGTGATCAGGCGCTTCAGGGCATATTTCATCTCCGACCCCTGCGGAACCAAAAGCATCCCTTGATCCGAACGGTGACTGGGAGACCGCTCTCTCCTTAGTGTCCAGTCCCGATCACGAGTGGGGTCCCCAGTCCAGAGACCCGCGGTGGCTCCCCGGCCGGGGCCTCCGCGGCCCGGGCCCCCTCCCATGCCCAGGACCCCCACGCGGCGCCCGGCCCCGGGCCCTCGCGCGGCGCCCTACCTGCGGCCTCGTGCGCAGATACTCCAGCAGCTTCTCCGTAGCCTCGAGCCGCGTCTCCTGCTGCGGCTTGGCGATGTCCCAGAAGAAATCCAAGAACTCGCGGCTGTGCTCCAGCAGGCCATGGCGATCGGCATTTGTCGCCTCTCCCGGAGCCCCCGGCTCGGCGCTCGGTGAGCTCTTCTTGTCCGCCATGCTCCGCGAAACACGTGGGCTGGGTGAGGGCCGCTTCCAGGTCAGGTCCCGGCGCCTGCGCACTGCGTCCGCCGGGTGGGGGCGGGGCGGGAAGAGGCGGGGCGGGAAGAGGCGGGGGCCGGGGCGGGAAGGGGCGGGGCCGGGGCGGGAAGGGGCGGGGCCGGGGCGGGAAGGGGCGGGGTCGAGCCTAGGCCCTCCTGCGCCCGCAGCGCCGGGTGGAGAGCGAGGTCCCGCGGGCTCCCAGGGTCCGTCCGCATCGCCCATCTTCTCTCCGAGCGATCCGCGCCCGGCGATGGCCGAGGCCGCGGTGACGGGTCCGCCGCGAGCCGGGCGGGCAGCGCCGGGCCGGGGGCCGGGACGCGGCTGCAGCACGGGCGGGGTCGGGGCAGCCCTGTGAATTCTGAAACCCGGCAGTGTAGTCTCCTGTAGCCGGGCGCCGGTGGCTCAGGCCTGTCATCCTAGCTCCTCAGGACCCTGAGATCTGAGGATCGCGGTTCCAGGCGGCCTGGGCCGGAAAAGTCCGTGAGACTTAACTCCAATCAGCCATTCCGAAAAAGGCAGAAGTGTGATGTGCGTGGTTCAAGTGGTAGATTGCTAGCCTTGAGCCAAGGGACCGTGCCCAGACTCCTGAGTTCAAGCCCCACGACTGACAAATAGAAAATAATTCATCAGGTTCTATGATTCTGATTTGAGTGGGTGACCAGCTCCATGAGGAGGTGACACAGGGGCTGAGTTGAATGACAAGGACTCTGGGTCGCCTGGAGCAAAGAGCTAGGAGAGGACAAAAGCCCAGCCTAAGGACTGCATCTACAAAGGCCCCAGAGATGAAGGGGATGAGATGAAGTGGGATTAAGAGAAATAAAATTGTAAGGACCCCAGGGCCAGGATCAGGAGTTTGGATTTCATTCTGAGTGTGCCAGGGAGGTCAGCTGGAGGGTTTTACACCAGATTTACATTTTAAAAAGATTATCTGGCAGCTGCAGTGGGGGATGGTTTTCAGGCAAAAGAAGTCAGAAGGAAAACCTGTCAGGGATTTCGAAGGCTGGGATGTGAGAACACATCAGACTTGGGCGACTTTGGAGATGGCCCAGGTGGAGTTGGACTGGGTATAGGAAGTAAATATCAGGCTTGGGGTATAACTTGTGAGCCACTACTTGGGAGGATTTTTGTGTGGAAGTGGTAATGGTGGGGTTAAGAGCTAGGAAAAGGGGGCTGGGAAGTTGGTTCAGTGGTAGAGTGCTTGCCTTGCATGCCTGAGGCCCTGGGTTCGATTCCTCAGCACCACATAAGCAAAAAGAAAAAAAAGCTAGAAGTGGCGCTGTGGCTTAAGTGGTAGAGCGCTAGCCTTGAGCTGAAGAGCTGAGGGACAGCGCTCAGGCCCAGAGTTCAGGCCCCACAACCGGACCAAAAAAAACAAAAACCAAAAAAAGACCTAGGTAAAGGTGGGCGGCACACACCTGTAAGGAAGCTGAAATCTGAGGATCATGGTTCAAAGCCAGCCCGGGCAGGAATGTCCATGGGACTATTCCCTCCAATTAACCACCAAGAAACCAGAAGTAGTACTGTGGCTCAAGTGGTAGAGTACTGGCCTTGAGCTGAAGAGCTCAGGGACAGCGCCCAGGCCCAGAGTTCAAGCCCTACCCCCCACTTTACTCCCCCCCCCCAAAAAAAAAAAGAGCTAGGTAGAGGAGTGCATGCCTGTTATCTATATTCAGGAAACAGGAGGATGGAGAGTTCAAGGCCTTCCTAGGCTATATAGTGTCTTGAAACAACAACAAAAAGCATAAATCAACAAGGGATATGGCTCAAGTGGTAGAATGCCTGCCCATCTGAATCTCTGAGTTCAATCTCCACAGAGGGACAAACTCTATTAAGTTGGGGTTGCCATTATGATTGAGATACATCAAGCTCAAAAAGCCAAATAAGCCAGGTGCCAGTGGTTCATGCCTGTAATCCTAGCTACTCAGGAGGCTGAGATATGCGGATCGAGGTTCAAAGTCAGCCCGGGCAGGAAAGACCATGAGACTCCTATTTCCAATAAACCACTAGAAAACCGGAAGTGGCGCTGTAGCTCAAGTGTAGAACGCTCGCCTTCAGCTGAAGAGCTGAGGGACAGCGCCCAGGCCCAGAGTTCAAGCCCCACGACCGACAGAAAAAAAAAAAAAAAAAAAGCCAAATATCGTGGTTCACTCCTTTGTGGATGCTAGCCATAAAGTACATACATATTCATTGACCCTATATACGTGTATATATGCTTATGCGCATAGGGTTATAAATATGTATGCATAGGGCATGGTTCTAAATATGAGACTGTTTAAGGAGAATGAGGGGGAGTGGAGGGGAGGGGAAAAGAAAGCTGGTGAACGATTTCTAAATACATCACAACTATATGCCAAGACAGTCTAAGGAATCTTAGTGACACTTTGTTGATCAATGAGAGGTTTAGGGAAGAGAAAGAGAAAGAGGGGTAAAATCCCTTGGTAAAATTAATACACATTAAGAAAAAAAATGAATGAAAGGAGAGTAAAACAGGTTGGCAAATGTGGGTGGTTATGATTGCAATTGTTTAACTGCATTTTGAAAAATAACACAATGAAACCTCTTAAAATGGTTTTACAAAGGGGAGAGGAGGAGAAAGGGGTTGGAGAGTCTGGGAGAATATTGAAAAGGGTGACATTGGTCAAGATCCATTGTACTTTTTTTTTTTTTTTTGGGTCTGGTCGTGGTGCCTGGGCCTGGGCGCTGTCCCTCAGCTCTTCAGCTCAAGGCTAGCGCTCTACCACTTGAGCCACAGCACCACTTCTGGATTTTTTTTTTTTTTTTTGCTTATGTGGTGCTGAGGAATCGAACCCAGGGCCTCCTGCCTGCAAGGCAAGTGCTGTATCACTGAGCCACCTTCCCAGCCCGATGCATTGTACTTTCAAACTGTTGTACTCCTTTGTACAACTACTAAAGATAATAAAAATATAACTTTTTTAAAAAAGAAGGGAAGAGAAGAGTAAGGGAAAGCAATGATAATAGTTTGATTGAGACACACTGAATGAATTACGAAAATGTTATAATGAAACTCCCCTTTACAAGTAATATTGGCAAATAAAACATCTGGCACTGGTGGCTCATGCCTATAAGCCAAGTCACTCAGGAAGCTGAGATCTGAGGATCACAGTTCAAAGCCATCTCTGGCAGAAAAACTTATCTCCAATTAACCAGTAAAAGCTGGAGCTGGAGATGTGGCCCAAATGGTAGAAGACCAGTATTGAGTGAAAAAGTCAATCAAAAGCTGGGTGCTGGTGGCTCATACCTGTAATCTTAGCTACTCAAGAGGCTGAGATCTCAGGATTGCAATTTGAAGCCAGCCTGGGCATAAAAGTCTGTGAGACTCTGATCTCTACTAAACTACCCAAAAGCTGGAAGTGGAGCTGTGCTTAAGTGGTACAGTGCTAGCCTTGAGGAAAAGAGCCCAGGCCCTGAGTTCAAGCCCCATCACCAGTACACACACACACACACACACACACACACACACACACACACACACACTCACACACACACAAGGTCAATCAAGAGCACAAGGCCCTGAGTTCAAGCACAAGTATTGTCACACACAAGAATCCTAAAAAACATAGCAAATTAGTGTGTGTGTGTATGAGAGAGAGGGGGGGGGGTCAATGGTTCTTGGCTTGAGAAGCTGTTTCTAGATGGCTGTGTTTAAAGAGATCTCAGCCCTGTTAGGGCCAGCCTTCCCTTATCATTTGACATAGCCATCTCTAGCGTTCATACCCAGGCCTCTCCAGTACCTCTTGCCACCCTCCATTCCTGTTCCCTGCTCTTCTGTTCTAGAAAGTAAAATGAAGAGATTTATTTTATGTATCAGACCACAGAAAGCAGAAGGTGAGCAGAGCTGAAAGTGAAGCAGAAAGAAATCGGCCCATGGGGCTGGGAAGGTGGCTCAGTGCTAGAGCACTTGCCTTGCATGCATGAAGCCCTGGGTTCGATTCCTCAGCACCACATCAGCAGAAAAAGCCGGAAGTGGCACTGTGGCTCAAGTGGTAGAGTGCTAGCCTTGAGCTGAAGAGCTGAGGGACAGCGCCCAGGCCCAGAGTTCAGGCCCCACGACCAGACACCCCCACAAAAAAAAGAAAGAAAAAAAGAAATCAGCCCACACCCATCTCTCTTTGGGGAAAGGGCAATTGTGCTGCCCCTGAAGAAGGAAGCCCTGATCACAGGAGCCTCAAGACTAGTGGGAAATTAACCAAAAGCAGGAATAGCACTTGGCATTCAGAGGACTTAGTTTTTATTTTTTCTCTACTCCAACTGTTGAGAGTATGGCCAATAGGAAATAGGCACTGCCCACCTTGCTCTTTGTAGTCCAGAATCTAGACTGGGGCTCGATACTCTTCAGTTCTTCCTGAAGCAGATCTAAACTCAAGCCTAGCCCCAAGTTTCCTTTCTGTCCTCCAGTTTCTTAGCTGATAAAAGAAGCAGAAATTCCATCCATTGGCTGGACATGTACTGTCAAGCAGAATTGAGCTAGACATGGATGCTAGAGCTAGAGTCCAGGAATTGACCAAGATCCAGGTTAGGGCTGATCCCACAGCCAGCACTCAGGATCTTTAAGCATTCCATTGTTGAGTCTGCAGAGCTACTGCCCTCAGGTTCAAGATCATACTGTCTCCTACCAGCCTTCTGCCTCTCTACTAGAGTCCCTGGAAGGGGCAGCAGCCCCTGGGGATGCTGGAGACGTGGGCGTGCTCCGCGTGGGCCGCTGCCTGCAGCAGGGTCACGCTGCCACATGTGCTGGGGTTTTCTGTTGGTTCTTGTTGAACCTGGTGTTGGTGCTGGGTTTGGGGCTCCAAAAGATGGCTGAGCAAGGCACGAGTCATGACTGTGGTCATGTTAGGGGTCCCTGAAGCCACCAGTGCTAACACATCAGCCTCTGTGTCATCCAGGCTGCCACGGAGAATGAGGGGACATGCCCAGGCACTGTGTGCAGACTCGGCCGTCAGGTTCCTGAGTAGAACCCCAGTGCTCGGGGACAAGTATCGAGAACCAAAGGCACTGTTGAGTGAGGAGGTGAGCAGGAGTGTGGAGCCGCTGTTGTCTACAGTGGCCAAGATGCTGCTTATCAGGGCAGTTTGCAAGTGCTGTGGGCAGGGGGCAGGGCTGGGTGTTGGGGTACGCAGGGCAGCCTCCAGCTGTGCCAGCAGTTCTGGGCCAGCAGAAGGGCTGGGGGTTGTGAAGAGGATGCCCTGGGGCACAGAAAGCTGTAGTGCTGGCTCCAAGCTGGGCCTGGGCCAAGCTAAGGGTTCCTCCAGTCCTAGGTCTTTAGCCAGCAGACTCAGTAAGACTTTGCCAGTGAGGTCTGGGGTGGGAGCAAGCGCTGCCCTGCGTAGCACAGTGGCCAGTTTGGGGTTGGTGGCTCGCATGCCAAGGCCCAGGGGAGTCCCGTCAGCATGGCAAAGCAGTGGGCAGAGACCCCTTGTGCCCTGGGTTGCCAGAGCACTGGCGAGGGGCGCATCCACCACAAAGCCCTCTTGAGCTAGCATGGTAGGGCCCACCAGCAGGCGTGACCACGGCAGGCAGCCAAAGCGTGTGTGGAGCAAATGCAGGGCAGGCAGAGCCCCAGGCAACCCCAGGCCAGGGGCCAGGGCCTGGGTTGGGCCTGTAGTCAGGGCAGTTGAGTTTCCTGAGGAGCTATTGTAGAAGAGTCCCCAAACCATGGCACCTAGGGAGACAAAAGGGTCGTACAGGGGTCAGGGTACTGGCCAGGACAGAAATCAAGGTCACCTAGCAGACCCAGGTGAAGGTCACTGGCTTGTTTAAAATGGAAGTTAAGGGCTGGGAGTGTGGCTTAGTGGTAGAGTGTTTGTCTAGCATCCATGAAGCCCTGGGTTTGATTCCTCAGTACCACATAAACAGAAAAAGCTGGAAGTGGTGCTGTGGCTCAAGTGGTAGAGTACTAGCCTTGAGCAAAAGAAGCTCAGGGATAGTGCCCAGGACCTGAGTTCAAGCCCCACGACTGTCCCCCCCCCCACCTCTCCCCCTCCCCTCTGCCCCCCCCCCCCCCAAAAAAAGGAAGTTAACTGACTGAACCTGGGATCAGGAAGTGCTGACTAGACCTGGGGACAAGGGTCACAGCCTAGGCTTGGGGCCTGTAACCCAAATCCGGTGTCCTGCTTACTGTCTTGAGGTCACAGACTGAATGCCAAGTCCCTGTCTAGGCCTTGTGTTGGGGGGGAAGGTTCTATCCAGGGCCCTGGGTCACTGACCTAGCCCTGTGAGGTGAGGGTGTATCACTGCCAGGCACAAAGCTGCTCCAATGCCAGCGTCCACGACATTACCCCCAGCCACCAGCAGCTCTCGGCCCATGTGGGAGCACGTGGCTGCAGGAAGGAAGGGATTGTCATGGGGAGGGGCTAGACCAGTGACCCCCCCCCCCCCCACACACACACTGTCCTCTGCTTTCCCAGCACAGACCTGCAGGGCTGATGATGGCGCTGTGGTGGAACACGCCAGGGGGATGGGTGTGGCTGCTCACCGGAGTTGCCACAGAGCCCACGCTTTCAGCCGAGTGGCCCTTGCTTTGCAGCTGCCTCACAGCCAGGAAACAGCTAACAGCCAGCAGTACCAGGGCTGCCCCTATTCGGGCCCACACACCGGGCAACCCACCAGCCTTGTTCCTGCAGAGAAGGGATTTCTGAGCTGGGGCTAGGATACAGGAACATTCTCATAACTTCATGAGAGGACAAGTTTGTCAAGGAGAGAAGAGTCGCCTGGGAGAGGGCACAGCGTGGCAAAGCTATGGAGAGGAGAAAAGGCTGGGGAAATGCTACTTGGAAGGGACTGTGTGCAGAGGTTGGAGAGGCAGGAGGACATCTAGAAGGAGGTCTCAAAAGGCTTGGCAGCCAGGTGCTGGTGGCTCATGCCAGTAATCCTAGCTAATCAGGAGGCTGAGATCTGATGATGATCTCTATTCAAAACCAGCCTGGGCAGGAAAGTTCGAGAGACTCTTATCTCCAGTTAACCACCAAAAAGCTGGTGGTGGAGCTGTGGCTCAAGTGGTAGCTAGCTAGCCTTGAGTAGAAAGCTAAGAGACAGTGCTCAGGCTCTGACTTCAAGCCTTCAGTGTATGTGTGCACGCATGCACACACACATACACATACACACACACACACACACACACACACACACACACACACACACACACCCAGCTTGGCAGACAGAGGAGAGGAGGCTGAGGGGTAGAGCTTAGTCAGGTAGAGCCAGGCCCTAACCTGCCCAGCAGGTGTCCAGTGTTGGTATGTGTGTGTGTGTGTGTGTGTGTGTGTGTGTGTGTGTGTGTGTGTGTGTGTGTGTGTAGGGAGCAGAGTGTTGGGCCTTATGACAGCTTTGCCCAGCACAGGGACTGGCTTGTTACAAATATCCCTTCAGACACATGGGCTTTTGACTTGGCTCAGTTCTGGAGCTACAGCTTAGGCCCCCCCCCCCTCACTTCGTGGGGAAAGTCCCTGGAACTGAGTCAAGCCCAGGATTGTCTGGTCCTACCTACGGGCTCCTGAGAGATGGTCTTACCAGCCTCCAGTGTGGTAAGCTGGGTGCCCAGCCCCCTCCTGGACTCACCCAGGGATGTCCTGGGGTCTCTTGAGGTTGGAGACCAGCAGTTCCGATATCTCATCCTCTTCCTCCTGTTCCCACTCAGCGCCAGGCTCCCAGATCTCTAGCTTGTGATAGAACACAGGCTCTATGGGAGCTTCCATAGCCCCCTGCTGCTCCAGCCCTCAGCCTTCCACGAGAGAGAAAGGATCCTTCTTAGCCTTGTGGGTGGAAGGTGCTTGGGCCTTGGGAAAGGGTGGTGTCTGGGAATGGAAAACAGGTCTGACAGGGTGGGGCCAAGGAGGCAGTTACTGCAGGAGGACACAAGGGCTCTCACGAATGCTCCCCCGTGTGGCTGTCTGGCAGGAGTTAAGGTCAAAGCTCAGCAAACTCAGCCCTAAGGGGTATGTGGTGTGTGTGTGTGTGTGTGTGTGTGTGTGTGTGTGTGTGTGTGTGTGTTGTGTGTGTGTGTGTGTGTGTTGTGTGTGTGTGTGTGTGTGTGTTGGGAGTTGGCCCTTTCCCTTCAGAGGAGTAGCCCTCAGAATCCTGGCCTCTCCAGAACTCTGGGTCTGTGGCCTTGAATTCCAGCTACAGCCACAGGATGGTCCAGGTGTTGGCTCAGCAAGTTCTCTTGGGCCAGGAATGGGGTGAGGTGCGGAGGGACTAGAGGTAAGAGGGAAGGACTCCAGGTAGGGCCATGGCTCGGAGGTGATTGAGCTTGGGAAGTGAAGGACATTTCAGGGACTGTCATGTGGTACCTGTCCAGCAGGGGGAGCCACAGACCTCTGTGGAGATCCACAGCTAAGGAAATGAGTTTCCACATCTCCTTCCTCCTGGGATTCATAGCGCCCTATTCCCTGGCAAAACATGGTTTGTAAGAGCTCCACATTGCAAAATGCCAAACACACATCATCAATAGAACAAATGGTATATATGTCACCATGGGGTCAAGGGTGTGTGTGCAGCAGAGGGCCTGAGTGATCTACAACCAGGTGCCATATGTATGTGAATCTGGAGATAACATGGAAGTGGAACAAGCCAGCCAGGAGAGAATGCACACTGCCTGCTTGCGATTAGTGGAGTACAAAGCCAGTGTCAGCCTCCTATGTAGCTTGGGAATGATAGACACATACCATTGTACCTGCTGTGGGTTGAGAAGAGAAAGGGTCTTGTGGACTTTGCTGCTTAGACTGGCCTGGAGCTGTGATCCTCCTGTTCTCTGGTTCCCAAGTAGATTGCAAACACATGATACTGGAACCTACCTGGTGTTAGGTTTTTAAAAAGAGATAGCCGAGTAAGAACAGCAGCACGCACGTGGTATTCAGGTAAGGGGTAGGTTTATTCAGTAGACCTGCTGGGACCAGGTAAGGTTGGCACTCCATGTGGCTGGGAAAGGCCTGGGAATGAGAGAGAGAGCTGGGAAAGAGAGAGGAAAGAGCTAGAAAAGAGCAGAGAGAGCAGAGAGAGAGCAGAGAGAGCTAGAAAAGAGCAGCGAGAGAGTCTGGGCCTGTGCTAGGCCTTATCTAGGGTATGGGCAGAGAAAGGTGTGGCCACATCAAATTCAGATGTGACCTCAGCAGATGCAGATGTGACCTCTTCCAGGTGTCCCAGTTGCCTAGGTAACGCAGGTACTGGGTGGAGACTTCGCTGCGAGGAGGGTGGAGTCTGCTCGCCATCCAGGAGCAGACTTTACACCTAGCTTTCTCTCCCTCCCTCCTTCCTTCCCTCCTTCCTTTCTTTCTTCCTGCCTGCCTGCCTTTCTCTCACTCCCTCAATCTTTCTTTTTCTCTTTGTTTCCTTCGCTGTCTCCTTTTTTCTTTCTTTCCCTCCCTCCCTCCCTCCCTCCCTCCCTTCCTTCCTTCCTGCCTTCCTGCCTGCCTGCCTGCCTGCCTGCCTTTCTCTCACTCCCTCAATCTTTCTTTCTTTTTCTCTTTGTTTCCTTCTCTCTCTCCTTTTTTCTTTCCTTCCTTCCCTTCCTTCCTTCCTTCCTTCCTTCCCTTCCTTTTTTTTCCTTTCCTTTCCTTTTCTTTCTGGTAGTACTGAGGTTTGAACTCAGACCTTGGGTTTCTTCTACCTGCTTTTACTGTAGGCTTTATTTTGGAGATGGAGTCTAGTAGAAATCTCTGCCTGAGATGACCTTGAATTGTAACAGTCTGGCTCTCAGCCTCCTGAGTAGCTATGGTTACAGGTATGAAGAAGCACTTGCAGCCATCAATAAAAAACAAACAAACCTTTTTTGTTCAGTACTGAGGCTTGAACTCAGGGTTGCATAGTTTGTAGTAAGGCACTAAAGCCACATCTCTAGTCCTGGCTTTCAGAGACCTGAAAGTGTGTCTTTTTGCAATGTGACCAGAATTTAAAATGCGCGCGCACACACACACACACACACACACACACACACACACACACACACGATGAAATGACTATATGCTATTTGCTAGTGTAAATGTGCACTTAGGAAAGGGAAATACCTTATTTTCCTCCTTTCTCCCTTCCTCCCCTACATCAGGGATTGAACCCAGGGCCTTTTGCATGCTAAGCACTGGCTCTACCACTGAACTACACCCCCACCCGCTGAGAGATAATATCTTTATGCCCCCTTAATTTGGATGAGGCCTTTGATGGCTATTTGAGAAAAGAGAATTTGAACTATACTTACTTTAGGGTAGATCTGGTGGAATTTTCAATTCATTCTGTGGCTATTTTCCCATTTTCAAAGAGTGTAGTTGGAACAAATACACTCTTCAAGAATCACAGTCTTCTGATTATTGGTTCTCAAATGCAGTGAGTAGAAGACAATATCAGAGTAAGAATTGAGTAGCTACCTCTGGAGTGAACCCTTTGTAAGCACAAAATTAGAGTACTTGCAGTGATGAATGCTACCAGTACTGGCTTCAAAGATGAAGGGACACTGATTCCCATTGTATTTCTGTTAGTTTGATTGACTGGGTGATTGTTTTCTTGAGACAGGGTCTTGCTATATACCCCAGATTAGCCTTGAACTTGTGATTGTCCTGCCTCAGCCTCCCTCATGCTGGGGATTGCAAGTGCATTTCACTACACCTGTCTTCTTATCCTATTTGAACTTAATGGGTTATATAATGTTTAACAGCTGTTGGAAATTGGTAGTAGTAAACATAATAAAAAGTGATAACTAAAACTCAGATGTTGCTGCAGGTAAAAAAAAAAAAAAACCCGCAGCCCTTGGCAAAGTTTAATTTCTAGCCCGATAAACAGAGAATCCAGAAGTAATTTGTAAGGTGTAGCAGCTGATGCTCAGGTGAGACAGAGACAATGGTTCCCTTAATGCAGTGTGATTTTGAACATTGGTCCTGCATAACCTCTGAGCCAGTTCCTCAGTAGCTCTTCCCACTCACTATATTTCCCCCACCCACTTTCTGTGCCCACAGAGCTTTCATAAACTTGCTTTCTAGCCAAGTATGGCAGTGTGAATCTTTTGCATTTAATCAATAGCATAGGTGGATGCACATACTTCAAGGCATCCTAGGAGGAAACTCACTTCACCCACAGGTGGAAATGGAAGCATGGGGAGGTGGAAGCAGCACCCTAGCACATTGGCCACTAGCTCTGAGCCTCTGAGAAGGTCAAGAAGGCAGGAAGGACATCTGTTTCATCCTGACCCTGCTGACTTCCAGGGGGTCTGTGCTAGATACACACCTAGTACAGTTAAGATGCTAGTGTTTTGTCAGTAAATATATATATATATATATATATATATATATATATATATATATATATTTTTTTTTTTTTTTTTTTTTTTTTTTTCCGTGCCTGTCCTGGGGCTTGAATTCAGGGCCTCACTCTCTAGTGTGGTCTTTATTGTGATTTGTTTTTGCCAGTGCTAGGTCTTGAACTCAGGGCCTGGGCACTGTCCTGAGCTTTTGCTCAAGGCTAGCACTCTACCACTTGAGCCACAGCACCACTTCTGGCTTTTCTGTTTATGTGGTGCTGAGGAATCAAACCCAGGGCTTCATGCATGCTAGGCAAACACTCTACCACTGAGCCACATTCCCAGCCTTTGCTTGGTCTTTTGGCTGGCACTTTATCATCTCTACTTTTGGTCTTTTTTCTGGTTAATTGAAGAAAAGACTCTCAAGGATTTTTCTGCCCAGGCTGGTTTTGAACAGCAACCCTCATATCTCAGTCTCCTGAGTAGCTAGGATTACAAGCCACTAGCACCTGACTTCTTTTTTTTGGGGGGGGGTGTCCGGTTGTGGGGCCTGAACTCTGGGTCTGGGCGCTGTCCCTCAGCTCTTCAGCTCAAGGCTTGCGCTCTACCACTTGAGCCAAATCGCCACTTCCGGCTTTTTTCTTTTTGCTTATGTGGTGCTGAGGAATCGAACCCAGGGCCTCATGCATGCAAGGCAAGGCAAGCGCTCTACCACTGAGCCACCTTCCCGGCCCCTCTTGCTATTGTTTCTAACATATTTATAAGGTACCATGTGATTTTTTTTGTTGCTTTGTATGTCCCTCCCCCAGGGTATAACCCCTGTTTTCTCTGTATTTGATGTCGGTATAATTTGGAGAGGGAAAGGGAAAAAACAAATTGTTTCAATAGGGATACAGGTGGACCCATTGTAACAATGAGATGTACAAGACACTATGTTGAGAAACGAACTTTACAATTTAGGCTGGGAAGGGGGTAGTTGTGGAGGTGGGGAAGGAAGAGGGAAGGGATGGTAGGGGGAAAACAAAGGAGGAGGCAACAATGCTTGATAAGAAATGTACTCATTACCTTGCTCATGTAACTGTAACCCCTCTGTACAGTATTTTCACAATAAATAACAAAAAATAAAATAAAATAAAACAAAACAAATACTGTGCTATGTGACCATTTGAACCCTTTATAAAAGAAGAAAAAAAAAGGAGAACACTTAGGAACCAACGAAGAGATGACAGGACAGCTGAAAAACATGGCAAGATACAAAGGTGACAGACAAAAATAGGAAAAAGTCTGCAACTCCAATTGTGAGTCCCTTGGGTGCAGGCACCACTGAGGACCCAGAGACCAAAAGACAGGGTATACCAGATGGCTGAGGCAACTCTAGCTGACTGGTAATGCTAGGATGTGGGATGATCCTACAGGTCCTACAAGCTGTCAGGATTTCATGTGGATGGTGACTATTCCTGTGTGGCAAGGGCTTTGGAGAAGAAAAACATTTTTATTTTTTTTGCCAGTCCTGGGGACTGAACTCAGGGCCTGGGCACTGTTCCTGAGCTTCTTTTGCTCAAGGCCAGCACTCTACTATTTGAGCCACAGCACAACTTACAGCTTTTTCTGGGTATATGGTACTAAGAAATCGAACCCAGGGCTTCATGCATGCAAGGCAAGCACTCTACCACTAAGCCACAATTCCCAGCCCAAGAAAAACATTTTGTTTCTTCCTTTATCTCGGAAAGGTCTACTGAGGGGTCCATTGAGAGCAGGCCTATTGTTTGAGACCAACCTTGAAAACAAGGAACAATCCCAGTGTGAGGAGGCCTGGAACACTTTGCCACAATGTCTGGGTAAGAGACTACCATAAGAACAGAGGGTCTGATGAATGTTGCTGAGAAGTTTAAGCAGTGAGGAGCTTGGACAATAAAAGGTACAGTGATCAGAGCCTCTGCCCTTCCTGGTGAGGAACAAGTTCGATAGCCAGGGAAATAGAGGACTGAGAGCATGAGTGGGGAAGCACTCAATCTTTGAGACTGTCTCCCTCCTCCCTTTGGCCATGAATGTTTGCTGCCAGGCACAACTGAAAGCTCTGAACCTAGGTTTGATGCATCTCGTAATTTCCCTGAACTTGTTGCCCTTCATATAGTGTGAGCAATGGAGGGACAAAGGTCTGAAAGTATGGAACCAGACTCCTCTCAGAGCTGCATCCCAGCTGCCTGTGTTATCAGGCAGGATGGAGAACTCTGAGATCAATTATCCTTATACTTCTGTCCACAGCATGGTGATCTGCTGGGTGGGGTCTTAAAAACACTGAATCAGATAGCCTAAGTCTCCTTGTCCCTCAATTCTTCTATCAGGGCACAAATCAGCGTTCTCTCAATTTTCTGATGCATTTGGGTCCATCCCTATGCTCAGATGTTTGCATCCTCTAGGAGACACATGCTGGGGGACTTGTAGAGCAAGTGGCAGTTTGCCAGGCCCACAAGCTACAAAGCTCCTTGTGACCAGCAGTAGCTTCTGGTACACAAAGAAATGATACTTCTAAGGTGAAAGCAGGGCTGGGAATGTGACTTAGTGGTAGAAGGCTTGCCTAGCATGCATGAAGCCCTGGGTTCGATTCCTCAATACCACATAAACAGAAAGAGCCAGAAGTGGCTCTGTGGATCAAGTGGTAGAGTGCTAACCTTGAGCAAAAGAAGCTCAGGCACAGTGCCCAGGCCCTGAGTTCAAACCCCAGGACTGGCAAAAATAAATAAATAAATAAATAAATAAATGCAGAAGACAATCAACCTTCAAGTGGCCCAACTATTAATCAGCAAATATGAGAACCTGATGAACTAGGATGTATAAGACATTCCATCCAGTGTTCCTCCACCTGGGTGGTGCTAGGGGTCAGACAGAGCATTCTTAACGTACTGTGGGTAATGAACTGTACCCCCAGTTCAGTAGGGAGGAAGTACAGCTCAGCCCTTCCTCTACGTAATCCTTCTTGAACGTGGAGAATACTTCAATGGGAAGTCTATATTAGGTAATTAAAACTTGCAAGCAATACCTTAGCCTTAGAAGTATAACTCCCAATGAAGAAATGTAAGAAATATTTTAAAATGAGGCAATATAATGTACCCAAAAGTCAACAGTTCAATTACAGGCAATAATGATTGTGAGGTGGATGAAATCCCAGACAAAGAATTCGAAAGAATGATCATAAGAATGTTTAGCAAAATTAAAAAGGATATGAAATGATCTTTTTTATGTCTTCTAATTTTGGTAAAGTCTGCCTTGTCAGATATGGGTATAAATACTTCTACTTGCTTCCAGGCACATTTGCTTGGAATATCTTTGTTCTTTCAGTTTAAACCTGTTTGTCTTTGCAAGGAGGTATGTTTCTTGTAGGCAACAAATGGTAGGGTATATATTTTATTCTAATCTACCAGTCTGTGTTTTTTGATAGAAGAAAGAGATTATTAGCATTTAGTTATTATTAAAAGGTGTGTAATAAGCCTGCTGGTGACTCACTTCTGTAATCCTAGCTACTCAGTGAGGCTGAGATCTGAAGATTATGGTTTGAAGCCAACACAGGCAGCAAAGTCTGTGAGACTGTTACTTCCAATTAACCACCAGAAAAACGGGAAGTGGAGTTGTGGATCAAAGTAGTAGAACTCAAGCCCTAAACACAAGAGCTCAGGGACATTGCCCAAGCCCTGAGTTCAATGCCCATGACTGACAATAAATAAATAAATAAATAAATGTGTAGTAATTAATCATTTTGTTGGTGGTGGTGGTATTGGTGGTTGTAGGGTGTGTGTGTGTGTGTGTGTGTGTGTGTGTGTGTGTGTGTGTGTGTGTGTGTGTGTGTGTGTGTGTGTGTGTGTGTTGTGGGGCTTGAACTCTGGGCCTGCGTGCTGTTCTTTAACTCTTTTGCTCAAAGCTAGCATTCTGTCATTTGAATCACATTTCCACTTCTGGCTTTCTAGTGGTTAATTGGAGATAAGAGTCCCATTGACTTTTCTGCCTGGGCTAGCTTCAAACCATGATCCTCATAGCTCAGCCTCCTGAGTAGTTAGGATTATAGGCATGAACCACTGATGCCCAGCTCATTTTGTTGTTCTTGTGTTTCAGACTCCTCTCATTCCTCAACTGAGGAATGCTTTTGCTTTCCTTGTTTACTTATCTAGTAATCTGTCAAAATTAAATTTTTCCCTGTATTTTCATAGTTGCATTTGTCATCTCTTCTATGTAGAGGTTCCCTTTAAGAATCTTCAGTGGTGCTGATTTAATGGTCATGAATTCCTTTAGCTTTTGTTTCTCCTTCAATTATGAAGGATAACTTTACTCTGTATTGTAATCTAGGTTGACTGTTATTTGCTTTAGGGGCTTGAAATACATCCTTTTTACCAAGTTCTTTCTTTTAGAGTTTCTGTTGAGAACTCTACTGTCATTCTGATGAGTTTGCCTTTATGTGACTTGGCTTCTTTCCCACAGATATTCTATGTTTTCAATATTCTTTCCTTGTTCTGTATACTTAGTACTTCAATTATAATATGTCTTGGAGCAGTTTTCTTTTCCTGCTCTTGTCTGTTTGGTGCTTTAAGAGCCTCTTGTATTTTGATGATCATCTCTTTTTCAAGATTCAGGACCATTTGCTTTTAGCTTGTATCTCTTCTCTTCCTATGCCCAGGAAGACTTGATTTTTTATTATTTATTATTATTTTTGTCAGTTCTGGGGCTTGAACTCAGGGCCTAGGCACTGTCTGTGAGCTTATGTTTTTGCTCAAAGCTAGCACTCTACCACTTGAGCCACAGTGCCACTTCTGGCTTTTTCTGTTTATGTGGAAGCCAGGGCTTCAAGCCTGCTAGGCAACACTCTACCACTAGGCCCCATTCCTATCCCAAGATTTGATTTTTAAAATAGTGTCCCAACTCTATTACACTGTTGCTGAGAATGTAAACTGGTAAACTGGAAGTCAACCTGGAGATCCCCCAAAACTAAACTTATAACTACCCTATGATCCAGCTGTAACACTCTTGGGCATTTATCAAAAAAAAAAGTGCACATTCAAGTTCATTGCTGCACTATTTACCAAAGTCAAGTTATAGAGGTAGTCCAAATACCCTTCAGTGGATGAGAAGGTCAAGAAAATGTAATCTATATATCTATAGCTACACACGTATACATACACACATACACACACACGTATAGATAGATAGATAGATATAGCTATAGAAAGGTAGGTATCTCTATATATCCCTATCTATCTATCCATCCATCTATCTGTATATATGTATGTATAACCTAATTAGGAAGAATGATCTTATATCATTTGCAGAGAAATGAATAAACCTGGAAAATTATGTTAAATAAAGTGACTTAGGTTCAGAGAGACAAAGAGCGCATGCTTTCTCTCACAGGTGGAAGATAGAGCTAAATTATATATATATATATGTAAACATATACAGAGTTGCATGCACATATATACAACTATTCACTAAAGTATTGTTCACACAGGAGAGGATTCCAATGGTATAACTCCTTTGAACAACTAATGGTTTAACAATCAAGACGAAGAAGTTGGAACATGTGCTGTTGGGGGGGTATGGTCAAGAAGAGGGGTCAGACAAATAGAGGGGACAAGTGAGTAAATGCAGGCATAATATTCAGTATACTTATGTGAAAACGGGACCAGCTGAGTTGAGGGGATTTATGGTATTGGGAGAGATGGGGGAGACTGACATTGATAAAGATAAATGTACTCATAAACTGACCTGTTGAATTGAAACCCCTTTGTACAACTACTTAAAGATAATTAAAAAAAAAAATAGTGGTCTCAGAGATTGTAAATGTTATTCAACTCACTACCTTCTCTTCTCCTGCTTAGGGTTGAGACAAACTGAGTTACACTATATGTCCCCACACTGCAGACCCTTTCCTCTTACTGGGAGTCTCCTGCTTTCTTGTTTCTGACTTAAGATCTACCAGGGCTCTTTCTGCAAAGGTAACCACTGTTCTCGTCTCTGTCCAGGTCAAGGACATGCCTGTTTACTGGTTCTGCAGCTGCGTTGAACTCGGACTGCTTCCTTTTTTTTTTTTTTTTTTTTTAACCCGATATCATCTCTGAGCAACTCAATTCTTGTTTGTGATTCCTTCCAGATGTTAGCTCTGCCATTTCTTACTAGGCTACTAAATGCCCGGTGCCTGTTTTTCCTTCCTTCCTTCCTTTCTTCCTTCCTTCCTTCCTTCCTTCATTCCTTCCTTCCTTCCTTCCCTCCTTCCTTCCTTCCTTCCTCTGCCTCTCTCTCCTTAATTCTTTCTTTCTTTCTTTCTTTCTTTCTTGCTTGCTTGCTTGCTTTCTTTTTTTTGGGTCCGGTCGTGGGGCCTGAACTCTGGGCCTGGGCACTGTCCCTCAGCTCTTCAGCTCAAGGCTAGTGCTCTACCACTTGAGCCACAGCACCACTTCTGCCTTTTCTGTTTATGTGCTACTGAGGAATCGAACCAGGGCTTCATGCATGCCAAGTAAGCACTCTACCACTAAGCCACATTCCCAGCCCTCCACAGGTATGTCTTGTGCTGCTGGTTACATCTAGACCAGTCCATAAGTCTCCAGTTGATCTTAGTTGGTTCCTCAAGCTATCAGAACTTAAAGCAAACCCTTCTAGTTTGGGAGAGTCCCTTAAATTGGTTTCACTGCCTTCAACCTCTGGGGACCTTAACAAAGGAAAAAGGTAACTTCTTGTTTGTGGAACCTTATAAGCTCAATCAGTGGGACAGGCAAGAAAATGCCCCACTGTGACATGATTACCTCACCTCCTCCAGTAGCCTAAGTATTGCCTGCAGTAATCTTCTCCACATGGCAGTGCCAGGGAGGGGACGTGATGGGGCTGGGAGGGTAAACAGGGGGTCTGTATCATCTTGTTCTGCACCAACTTGTTGTCCCTTAAAGAAAATTATAATTATCCTATGGCTGAAAGATCAGAGAGCACTTCTGATTATAATATACTTATATACAGGTGTTATTTGTGCATATGTTTATCAAGTGTATGCAAAAATGTCATTTGCTCTTGAAATTCCAGAAAACAATTGACAAGTTGTTATGGTCAGTTTTCATTTTTGAGCTCAATATTTTTTTGGGGGGGTCCGGTTGTGGGGCCTGAACTCTGGGCCTGGGTGCTGTCCCTCAGCTCTTCAGCTCAAGGCTAGTGCCCTACCACTTGAGCCACAGTGCCACTTCTGGCTTTTTTCTTTTTGTTTCTGTGGTGCTGAGGAATCGAACCCAGGGCTTCAGGCATGCAAGGCAAGCGCTCTACCACTGAGCCACCTTCCCAGCCCTTGAGTTCAATATTTTTTATGTGTACCTCAGACTTGATAGGCCTGAAGAAAAACTTTTTGCACCTATGTGTGTGAATACTTTCAAGATGATTCTGAAAATGTGCTGTTATAAATTTAATATGCAAAAGCTGCTGTCACCTTTAAGAAAACTGGTTATCTCAATCATGTGTATCTGAAATTCTAACATTTAGAAATTAACTCTCTCAAATTAAAGAAAAATTGGCCATTTTAAGCTTAAGTACCAGAAAGAATCTTGAAATTTGGTAGGTTGGCATACTGTTATAAATAGAATGTTGACTTGAATCACTTTACCATGTATTAGCCTATTAACAAATATGCTTTTATAAATTGTTATTGTACTAAGAAGCTGGTTAAGATTACTTTTCTTCCAGGGTCCTCATTGGGATGTAAGGCTTTAATATTATTGGGAAAAGAAAACAATTGTCCAAGTTTAAGAGTTTAATGTAATGGGCCAGGCATTGGGTGGCTTACACCTATAATCCGAGTTACTTAGGAGGCTGAGATCTGAGCATCTCTGTCTGAGAGCAGTCCAGGCAGGCAAGTTCATGAGACTCTTATCTCCAATTAACCACCAGAAAACCAGAAATGACACTGTAGCTCAATGTGGTAGAACACTAGCCTGGAGCAAAAGAGCTCAGGAACAGTGCCCAGGCCCTGAATTCAAGCTTCACAACCAACAGAAAAGAAAAAAAAAAGTTTAATGGGAGTTACTTCAAAATGCAAAATGGAAAGAAGAAACAGAAAGAAATAGCAAATAGAAAAGACAGGAAAGTATAGGGATATGTTTATGGGATGGAAAATTAAAAGAAAAGGAATGCCTTTAGAGATTTTGTAAAGTAAGCTTGGTCTTTAAATATGGCCCCAAAGTGGGAAAGTAGGATAGCATAGAATTAACAAAGACACAAACAAAACCCGGGAGGCTCAGAAGAAAGTTATGAATTGTAGTAGTAGATTTTAGAGTATATAAGAGATGAATCTTCATGAGTATGTGATTGCTGACTGCAATTTAAAAGGTTAGAGATGTTTCTAAAGTTAGTTTTAATGCATGCGAAGAGTAAATGTGAGCTCAGCGCAGGTGGCTCACACCTGTAATCCTAGCTACTCAGGAGGCTGAGATCTGAGTCAGCAAGACAAGAAAGGCCATGGGACTCTTAGCTCCAATAAACCACCAGGAAACCAGAAGTAGCACCTGTGGCTCAAAGTGGTAGAGCGCTAGCCTTGGGCAAAAAAGCTCAGGGACAATGCCCAGGCCCTGAGTTCAAGCCCCACAACTGAGAGTAAAAAAAGAGTAAATGAAGCCAAGCACTGGTGGCTCACATCTGTAACCGCAGCTACTCGCTACTCAGGAGGCTGAGCTCTGAGGATCATGGTCAAAGCCAGTCTAAGCATGAAAGGCCATGAAACTCTTATCTCCAAAAAACCACCAGAAAACTGGAATTGATGCTGTGGCTCAAGTGGTAGAGCACTCACCTTGAGCTGAAGAGCTCAGGGACAGTGCCCAGGTCCAGAGTTCAAGTCCCATGACTGACAAAAAAAAAAAGTGACTCTGTCCTTCCTTCCTTTCTTCCTTCCTTCCTTCTTTTCCTCCCTCCCTCCCATCCCTCCCATCCTTCCCTCCCTCCCTCCTTTTTTCCTTCCTTCTTTCTCTTCCTCTTTCCCCCTCTCTCTTTCTCTCCCTTCCTCCCTCCCCCTCTCTCTCCCTCTATCTCTTTTTCTCTCTTTCTCTTTCTCTTTTTTTTCATTCATGGGGCTTGAACTCTGGTCCTGGGCACTGCCCCTCAGCTCTTCAGCTCAAGGCTAACACTCTACCACGTGAGCCACAGTACCACTTCCAGTTTTCTGAGTGGTTTATTAGAGATAAGAGTCTCATGGGGCTGATTGTGTTCTAAGGGGTCAGAGTCGGGAAGACGTTTGCTCTACCAGAACAGCCCGATCTCATTCCTTTCTTTCGATTACCCGTGGCGCGGAGAGTCAGGCCAGCGGCTGCGGCAGCGGCAGCAGCTTTGGCGGTGGCAGCGGCAGCTGCAGTGACATGTCCAGCATGAATCCCAAATACGATTATTTATTCAAGTTACTTCTGATTGGTGACTCTGGGGTTGGAAAGTCTTGCTTCCTTCTTAGGTTTGCAGATGATACATATACAGAAAGCTACATAAGCACAATTGGTGTGAATTTCAAAATAAGAACTTAGAGTTAGATGGCAAAACAGTAAGCTTCAAATATGGGACACAGCAGGCCAAGAAAGATTTCAAACAATCACTTCCAGCTATGACAGAGGAGCCCATGGCGTCATCGTAGTGTATGATGTGACAGATCAGGAGTCATTCAATAATGCTAAACAGTGGCTTCAAGAAACAGATCTTTATGCCATTGAGAACATCAACAAGTTGTTGGTAGGGAACAAGTGTGATCTGACCACAAAGAAAGTAGTAGACTATACAACAGCAAAGGATTTTGCTGATTCCCTTGGAATCCCATTTTTGGAAACCAGTGCTAAGAACGCAACGAATGTAGAACAGTCTTTCATGACCATGGCAGCAGAGATTAAAAAGCGAATGGGCCCTGGAGCAACAGCTGGCAGTGCAGAGAAGTCCAATGTTCAAATTCAGAGCACTCCAGTGAAGCAGTCAGGTGGAGGTTGCTGCTAAAGTTTGCCTCCATCCTTTTCTCACAGCAATGAATTCACAATCTGAACCCAAAACAAATTGCCTGAATTGTACTGTATGTAGCTGCACTACAACAGATTCTTACCATCTCCACAAAGGTCAGAGATTGTAAATGGTCAATACGGACTTTTTTTTGTATTCCCTTGACTCAAGACAGCTAACTTCATTTTCAGAACTGTTTTAAACCTTTGTGAGCACACATTATTATAATAAAAAAATGTGTGTAATCCTTGTTGCTTTCCTGATACCAGACTGTTTCCCATGGTTGGTTAGAATATATTTTGTTTTGATGTTTATATTGGCATGTTTAGATGTCAGGTTTAGTCTTCTGAAGATGGAGTTCAGCCATTTTGTATCAAACAGCACAACCAGTGTCTTGTCACTTTCCATGCATAAAGTTTACAGAGATGTTATATGTAAGATCTGATTTGCTAGTTCTTCTTGTAGAGTTAGAAATGGAACGATTACACTATCTGATTAATAGTTTCTTCATACTCTGCATATAATTTGTGGCTGCAGATATTGTAATTTGTTGCACACTATGTAACAAAACAACTGAAGATATGTTTAATAAATATTGTACTTATTGGAAGTATATCAAACTGTATGGTGATAAGTATTGTTTTAATTCTCATGGTTAAAGGGAAATAGAGCCTTGCATTATAATCAAAACAACTATTGTGTGCAACCAAGGCACTGTAGATGTACTGAATGCTGTGTTTTCTAGATAACAGACCTGATAAATAACCCAGGGGGAGCCTTCTCTGCTGTGTAGGGACTTAAAACCAACTATAGGGGTTCAAGGAGCCCAAGTTGTGTGAAAAATTAAGTTTATGCTTACCATCTCTGATCCTCCATTGGCTTCGCTGACCAACATGTCTTTAATTCATCTGCAGTAGAGTTGGAGAGCAGCACACCCTTCCTAACTGGCAAATGATCAGGTGAATGTGTGCTGGTGTTTGTTCCATGCTCTGAGTCAGATGTCAACTATTTAATCTTTTACGGTTATGTATAATTCATGTTGGGAGAGTTTAACCATTGAAGTAGAAAGCAGGAAACCTGATTACCCTAAAAATGAACTGAAAACATCATTGCTAGCTGGGAATGATGAGAGAAATATATTTACTACAGTGAAATTTTTGCATGTGCAAAAATTCTGTTAAATAGGAACTTCAAATCTAGGGTCTTTATTTTTACTGTGGAAACAGGATATTTTGCCCACATTAGCATTTTAACAGACAGAGATCAAGGTTTGTTTCATTATATATGTAGCAGCCAAAACATTCTTCAATGGGAGCTTAAGATATGGCTGTTGGCAACACATCTTACTATGGGGTCTTTAGATTAAGTTTTTAAAAAAGCCAAAAATTATGTTTCTTTATTTTTCATGTAACAGGCAACTGAAATACATGGTATAAAAATAAGTGGTAAGATTCTTGTAAAATGAAATGGACAGAATAAATATTCAATTTAATTTTCCATCTAGGAGAATTTCACAATAAAATCATAGTTTACTTTGTATTATATATATAGAGGGGGGGGGGGGAGAGAGTCTCATTGACTTTCCTGCCCAGGCTGGCTTTGACCTGTGATCCTCAGATCTCAGCCTCCTGAGTAGCTAGGGTTACAGGCATGAACCACCGGCACCCGGCTCTTTCTTTCTTTTTCTTTGTCTGAGGGCAGGACTCTAACTCAGTACCTGCAGCTTTTGCCCATTGGCCACACCTCTGCCAACAAACCATACCTCCAGCCCTTTGTATGAGCATTCCTGAGGGATGGGAGCCCAAGAGGGTCAGATCATGAGAAGCTGTACCCACTGACTCGCTGGCAGGTTATACTGGGCTTGAGTAAGCCGAGGGTAGGGAAGCTACAAACTGTAAGGCTAAGAGAGATTTAAACAGCCTAAAAGGCTGTACATCTAAAAGATAAAGAATATGTATATTATACAGTGAGAAACCTGGTATGGCTGGCTAAGGGGAGGTAGCCAGAGTTTCTCACCATAACTTCTAGGCCCTCTGGCTTTGGCCTACACTTGGCAAGAGCTGTGATTCAGCATGTCTGTGTAACCTTGAGCCCTGTACCTATGTACAACCTCAGGTATCTCTGCATGTGATCTGGAGGCTAGGCATCCATGCATGCAATCCAAAGTCAGATGCCAGTTTTGTCTAGTGGAAATATTAACCAGGCATGACTTTTGTGAGGCAGTGAAATGCTGCTTAAGGACGGAATAAGGTGAGCTCATGAACAGGCTGGGAAGTGCGTGCTGTGCAGCCATGGACTGGCATACAGAGCACTGTTGTGCTGTTAGACTGTGGGCTACTGCTATGGTTGATGAATTTGTGAACAGGGAAGACTTTGCATAAAGGCTGACTCTGGCCTCTAGTCCATCATGCCATATATATATATACATACATATATACACACACATATATGCATGTGTATATATGTTTTTGCCATGCTCAAATTGGAGAAGAGTCTCCCAAACAGAACACAGATGTAAAATCAGCACCCAATTCACTATGTTGACAACAGAGTTGTCTTAAAAATGCTCTGTTCTTTCAAACTCTACTACAGAGCTATAATAACAAAGACAGCATGGTACTGGCACAAAAACAGACCCGAAGACCAATGGAACAGAATAGAAGATCCAGAAATAACTCCACAGGCCTACAGCCAGCTGATATTCGACAAAGGAGCCAAAGACATACAATGGAAGAAACACAGCCTCTTCAACCGCTGGTGCTGGGAAAACTGGGCAGCCACATGCAGAAAACTAAAAGTGGACCCCAGCCTATCACCATGCACCAACATCAACTCAAAATGGATTAAAGACCTTAACATTAAACCTGAATCTCTGAAACTACTGCAGGACAGAGTAGGAGAGACACTTGAACTAATAGGCACAGGAAGGAACTTCCTGAACAGAGTCCCAGGGTCACAACAAGTTGGAGAGAGACTCGACAAGTGGGACTACCTTAAAATAAAAAGCTTCTGCACAGCTAAATCTATCACAACCAAGCTAGAAAGACAACCAACTAATTGGGAAAAAATATTTACCAGCAACATATCAGACAAGGGGTTAACATCTTGTATATACAGGGAACTCAAGAAACTAATCCCTCCCAAACCTAACAAACCAATTACTAAATGGGCAAGGGAACTAAAGAGGGACTTCTCAAATGAAGAAATAAAAATGGCAAAGAAACACATGAGGAAATGTTCATCATCCCTGGTGGTGAAGGAAATGCAAATAAAGACAACCCTGAGATACCACCTTACCCCAGTCAGAATGTCCCACATCCACAAATCAGCCAACGACAAATGCTGGAGGGGATATGGAGAAAGAGGAACCCTATTACACTGCTGGTGGGAATGTCCACTTATACAACCACTTTGGAAAGCAGTCTGGAGGGTCCTTAAAAAGCTAAAGATTGACCTCCCTTACGACCCAGTCATACCACTTCTAGGCATCTACCCTGAACAACAGGAACCAATATACAAGGACACGTGCACCTCCATGTTTATTGCAGCACTGTTCACAATAGCTAGGATATGGAAACAACCCAGATGCCCCACCACAGATGAATGGATCCAAAAATTGTGGTATCTATACACAATGGAATATTATGCAGCCATTAGAAATGACAAAATAATGGCATTTGCAGGGAAATGGATGGAGCTAGAAGGAATCATGTTGAGCGAGGTAAGCCAAGAACGAAGAGACAAACGGTACATGGTCTCCCTGATAAGTGGATGCTAAATCCAAAATGTTAGGTGATACGACAAAACTAACAGGACTTAAGAAACAAAGAACTCCCACTCATCTGGTTGAACCACTACTAAATATCCCCATGCTGCTGATCACATATATGGTATATAACATGTGAACACCGTTATATGTTACAGACTGTGATAGACAATTTGCTCCAGGAAAGTTAGAATGAACTTGTGACTTTAAATGAGCATCATTATTCCACAATACTGTGAAATTCCGGAAATTATGTAATCACTTAATCACAATCAAAAAAAAAAAAGAAAAGAACCTCGGGGAAGGGAGGGAGGGAGGGAATGGTAGGGGGAAAACAATGGAGGGGGTAACAATGTTCAAGAGGAAGTGTACTCATTACCTCACTCGTGTAACTGTAACCCTCTGTATAGTATCTTTACAATAAAAATAAATAAATAAAATAAAAAAAATTTAAAAAATGCTCTGTTCTTTTTAAGACTTGTAGAAAAACTTGCTTACGGGACATTATTTATTTATTTTTGTACTGTTTGGAGCTTGAACTCAAGGTGTAGGCATTGTCTCTGAGCTTTTTCACTCAAGGCTAGAACTCTATTACTTGAGCCACATCTCTATTTCTGTCATTTTGGTGGTTAATTAGAGATAATAGTCTCACAGACTTTCTTGCCTGGGCTGGCTTTGAACCTTGATGCTCAGACCTCAGCCTTCTGAATAGCTAGGATTACAAGTATGAACCATTGGGCCTGGCTAAAGTTTTTATTTTACCAAGATAATTGTTTGGGATTCTGTTGGTCTTGTCAAGCACTTGATCACTTAAGAAACTAGGTCTTAATTGAGTCAAAGTTCATCTGGGTGTTTGCTTATATCTGGCTGTCTTTAAAATGACCACCAATATAAGCCTTCTATAATGCAAGGACTCTATAGATTAAAATTGTCAGGCTTGTGTCTATGTGTTTCTAATTGTAACCAGGAACATTTAACAGTCTCAACAATGCTAATAATCTTAATTGTTACCCTAAAATATTGTATCTAAGAAAGAAAGCAGAAAGGGGAACCTCAACAGTTTGGGAAGAGCAACCAACTCTCCCACAGCCTGGTTGAAGGGGAAACAGCACACCTTACAACAAGGGTCCCTTTAAATTAGGCAAAAAACATGAAGTTGTGTGTATATGGGGAGGGGCATGCATATGGAAGCCTTATCATGTGATAGAGGTGGGTGAGAGAGTGATGATATTTATTTTGTTGGTCATGGGCCTTGAAGTCAAGGCCGGGGCGCTGTCCCTGAGCTCT